AATAGTAGACAATATAGCCTTTATACCACAATAGTAGACAATATACCCTTTATACCACAATAGTAGACAATATAGCCTTTATACCACAATAGTTGACAATATAGCTTTTATATCACAATAGTAGACAATATAGCCTTATACCACAATAGTAGACGATATAGCCTTTATACCACAATAGTAGACAATATAGCCTTTATACCACAGTAGTAGACAATATAGCCTTTATACCACAATAGTAGACAATATAACCTTTTTACCACAATAGTAGACAATATACCCTTTATACCACAATAATAGACAATATAGCCTTTATACCACAATAGTGGACAATGTAACATTTATACCACAATAGTAGACAATATAGCCTTAATACCACAATAGTAGACAATATAGCCTCTATACCACAGTAATAGACAATATCGCCCTTATACCACAATAGTAGACAATATAGTCTTTATGCCACAATAGCAGACAATATAGCCTTTATACCCCAATAGTAGACAATATAGCCTTTATACATGTCGAGCATGGCCTGTAACCCATCTATTCACCTTAAATCCAACTTACTGAACACGACAAGCAGAATTATTCTCAAATCCATTATGATGTGTTGCTGTGTCTGTTGTCAACAGAAAGTGACACAACGTCAGAGAAAGTGTCCAGGTGTCACCCAACAAGTCAGGCCTGTCTCGATGAGGAAGGTATGGTGTAACTAGACAACTGGAGTTATCTGTAATCATTTTCTGTGTACATGATCGACAGATAGTGATCACAGTGGTATGACCATGTAGACTATGGGACTAGTTCCACCTGACAGAGCAGGATCACAGTGGTATGACCTTGCAGAGTATGGGACTAGTACCATCTGACAGAGCAGGATGACAGTGGTATGACCTTGCAGGGTATGGGACTAGTTGCACCTGACAGATAGTGATCACAGTGGTATGACCATGTAGAGTATGAGACTAGTACCACCTGACAGAGCAGGATCACAGTGGTATGACCATGCAGAGTATGGGACTAGTACCACCTGACAGAGCAGGGTCACAGTGGTATGACCATTCAGAGTATGGGACTAGTACCACCTCACAGATAGTGATCACAGTGGTATGACCATCCAGAGTATGGGACTAGTACCACCTGACAGAGCAGGATGACAGTGGTATTACAATGCAGAGTATTGGACTAGTACCACCTGACAGACCTGGATGACAGTGGTATGACCATGCAGAGTATGGGACTAGTACCACCTGACAGATAGTGATCACAGTGGTATGACAATGCAGAGTATGGGACTAGTTCCACCTGACAGATAGTGATGACAGTGGTATGACCATGAAGAGTATGGGACTAGTACCACCTGACAGAGCAGGATCACAGTGGTATGACCTTGCAGAGTATGGGACTAGTACCACCTGACAGATAGTGATCACAGTGGTATGACCTTGCAGAGTATGGGACTAGTACCACCTGACAGAGCAGGATCACAGTGGTATGACCATGCAGAGTATGGGACTAGTACCACCTGACAGAGCAGGATCACAGTGGTATGACCATGCAGAGTATGGGACTAGTACCACCTGACAGAGCAGGATCACAGTGGTATGACCATGCAGAGTATGGGACTAGTACCACCTGACAGATAGTGATCACAGTGGTATGACCATGCAGAGTATGGGACTAGTACCACCTGACAGAGCAGGATCACAGTGGTATGACCTTGTAGAGTATGGGACTAGTACCACCTGACAGAGCAGGATCACAGTGGTATGACCATGTAGAGTATGGGACTAGTACCACCTGACAGAGCAGGATCACAGTGGTATGACCTTGTAGAGTATGGGACTAGTACCACCTGACAGAGCAGGATCACAGTGGTATGACCATGCAGAGTATGGGACTAGTACCACCTGACAGAGCAGGATCACAGTGGTATGACCATGTAGAGTATGGGACTAGTACCACCTGACAGAGCAGGATCACAGTGGTATGACCATGTAGAGTATGGGACTAGTACCACCTGACAGAGCAGGATCACAGTGGTATGACCATGTAGAGTATGGGACTAGTACCACCTGACAGAGCAGGATCACAGTGGTATGACCATGCAGAGTATGGGACTAGTACCACCTGACAGAGCAGGATCACAGTGGTATGACCATGGTACGACAGCAGTATGGGACTAGTACCACCTGACAGATAGTGATCACAGTGGTATGACCATGCAGAGTATGGGACTAGTACCACCTGACAGAGCAGGATCACAGTGGTATGACCATGCAGAGTATGGGACTAGTACCACCTGACAGATAGTGATCACAGTGGTATGACCTTGCAGAGTATGGGACTAGTACCACCTGACAGATAGTGATCACAGTGGTATGACCTTGCAAAGTATGGGACTAGTACCACCTGACAGATAGTGATCACAGTGGTATGACCTTGCAAAGTATGGGACTAGTACCACCTGACAGATAGTGATCACAGTGGTATGACCTTGCAAAGTATGGGACTAGTTCCACCTGACAGATAGTGATCACAGTGGTATGACCATGTAGATTATGAGACTAGTACCATCTGACAGAGCAGGATGACAGTTGTATGACCTAGCAGAGTATGGGACTAGTTCCACCTGACAGATAGTGATCACAGTGGTATGACCATGTAGAGTATGAGACTAATACCACCTGACAGAGCAGGATCACAGTGGTATGACCATGCAGAGTATGGGACTAGTACCACCTGACAGATAGTGATCACAGTGGTATGACCATCCAGAGTATGGGACTAGTACCACCTGACAGAGCAGGATGACATTGGTATTACCATGCAGAGTATTGTACTAGTACCACCTGACAGAGCAGGAACAGCAATGACATCTCAACATTCATGCTACCTTGTGATTCTCAGGTCGCATGTCACATCACTGCTTTCATATATCCAAGTGAGCGAGTGAGTTTAGTTTTACGCCACACTCAGCAATATTCCAGCTATACGGCGGCGGTCTGTAAACAATCAAGTCTGGACCAGACAATCCAGTGATGAACAGCATGAGCATCGATCTACGCAATTGAGATACGATGACATGTATCAACCAAGTCAGCGAGTCTGACCACCCGATCCCGTTAGTCGCCTCTGACGACAAGCATGGGTTACTGAAGGCCACTTCTACCCCGGATCTTCACGGGTTTCATATATCTAAAACAGACTGACTGACTGACTGAGTTTAGTTTTACGCCGCTTTTAGCAATATTCCAGCAATATCACGGCTGGGGACACCAGAAATGGGCTTAACACATTGTGCCCATTTGGGGAATCGAACCCGGGCCTTCGGCGTGACGAGCCAACGCTTTGACCACTAGGCTACCCCACCGCCCTCTAAAACAGAACCATGAATAGTCAACACAAATGGAAAACACGTCTTCAGGCTGATTTTATAGCATTGTTCAGATAAGGTTCACAATCCAGTCAAATTACAAACAGAACTCGTTTGAACTAATCTAAACTTAGAATAGATCCCTATAGATCACAAAACGTCTACCAACATCTGAGTGATGGAACACTGACGGATTTGACCCAGAGGTCATTGGGGTCACGGCCCCTCTGACACACTTCTGTGAGACTTTTTTTCTGCTGAGGCTGCACAATACCATCCTGAGCTGCTGCCATTACCCCGTCTCTTGTCAGAGATATGACGGGGTTCTCAAGAACAACACAGGTTGCACAATATCACCCTGAACTGCTGCCATTACCTCGTCTCTTGTCAGAGATATGACGGGGTTCTCAAGAACAACACAGGCCGTGTTTTAGAGTGAAGGACCTTCTGTAAATAGATGTCTGAACAAACGTCCTACGACATATACGTTTCCACGGTAATGAGGACTGAGTCGGTGATGTTAGCGTAAAAAGGTTTTATTGTTCATGTAAATATATAACAACAATGTGTTGACTTCTATACCAGGAGCGAACATCCGTCGTTGAGTAAGAACACACTAAAGCACATGGAATCTCCTAACATCAAGATATAACATTGGTATCACATTTGATATAATACAATATATGAATTATGCACATGGGACGTGAACATTCTTTCACTCACTATCCTACTTACATGATGTTGCTTGAAACAATCAGTAATGTGGCGCATAGCATTGTCTTGTGATAGAGTAGAGTATTCATGACAGATTACTCTTACTGTTTTGATTCAACAATCGCGTCAGCTATTCCAATAATAACGGAGCAACATACAGAAAGCAGGTAGACAAGGGTATATGGAGATAACATACACATAACATTAATGTCAACACATGTACAGACGAAGAACGATATTACTGGCAAGACTACGTGGAGGAAGAGGGAGAGAAGAGGAGCACGTAAAAGGATTGAGACTATCATGATAAGGCGGGATACGTCGTTAGACGCCATGTTATATTCACTAATATTGTCAGACTGATGCCAGAGTATAACATAGTTAACTCATATGCATTTTCAAATATATATTTAACAATATTTATTCATTAACTAACACCATTAATTTCGTTCAGTTACATTAGTTGAGTTGAATAAAATCATATTCCTATCTGTACACACTATACAGAAACGACAAACAGGTTCAGCAGCTAGCATAGTGTTATACTCTCCAAACTGTTGATCATAATTCAATATGTATATTGTAACACATGATATATTTGTGATTACTCTTTCTCGTTAAAGTACAGATTCTAGTACTTTACTTTGCTGGGTTGAACCCACACCAACAGAAGTACTAGAATCTTCACTTTACTGAGAAATTGTAATCCCATACATGACATATGGTACATTAGACCCCTAAATGACATTGTGTAGTCTATATGTTGCCATTGGTGTATCAGACGTACACGGAAGGTCGTTTAGTATCCTCTATTCTGACCACTAAATGACATTGTGTAGTGTATATGTTGTAGCTTGTATCTACACATGTATCAGACGTACACGGAAGGTCGTTTAGTGTCCTCTATTCTGACCACTAAATGACATTGTGTAGTGTATATGTTGTAGCTTGTATCTACACATGTATCAGACGTACACGGAAGGTCGTTTAGTATCCTCTATTCTGACCACTAAATGACATTGTGTAGTGTATATGTTGTAGCTTGTATCTACACATGTATCAGACGTACACCTTTTTCACTTTACAGCATACACATGAACACTGACTATGTTTCCACAATGTCGCGCTTCCAACACAAACTGTAACATTATGTTAAACCGTATTTAGGGATACGGTGACAATAATTGGTGCACTAATACCCAACCCCTTTGTCTTTGTCTTTTTGCGTGAGTGAGTGAGTTAACATTTTAACGTCATATCGGCAATATTTCACACATATCTTGACGGTAACATTTTATGCAATAACATATGAAAACATTTTAAAGAATGAAACCTGTCGGCGATGGACAGTAAAATACTAGAGGATCACATATATGAATATAAAAACTAGCATGTTAAACTAAAACATTTTAATTAAAGAAGACAATACAATGTATAACATGTTATATAGTTCGCCAACAACTATGAGGATTTACAATGCCTGCATGGACTCTAGCTGCATTTATCCCGTGTCGTTTTGAACAATTAAACAGGTTGAATACAAATGATAAATTACAAAGAGACACAATCATGGTTTAGTAAAGGAATCAAATCGGTGAAGATACATTTAAAGAACGTGACTTCTTTTGATTAGTCAGATACGTAGTATTGCATCAGACCACATCCAAGACAGCATCCAGTGGGTCACAACCTTAACGACAAATCCCAAAGACTTTAAATCAGGAAACTCCGAAACATCAAAAGACTCCAAGCCTCTACCAACCGTGACCAAGGCTATTACATACCTCCTGCACACTACCCAGTCTTCAAAGATCACCATCAGTCATTCTACTAGAGGCATAACTACACCTGTGTTTATACTGACGACTGCAGACTTCAGGTGTTAACACTCCCATCTACCTAGGCTATGTGTTGGTGTTGTTGCTGGGATACGGAGAAAACGGACCCCAGCGAAAACAGACCCCCCAAAATATCGAGAAAACGGCCATAGCGCCAGAGAAAACGGCCACCGAACCGTGAGAAAACGGTCTCTGTGCCTAGGGAAAACGGCCAACATAGTTGCACCAAGATCAAAGGAGATTATATGATTATATATGTTCTAAGTAATAGAGATTTACTTCATTGCGGGTAAACTTTTAAAAATTGATTGTTTAATTTTGTTTCGATATCCATAGCGGTTTAACCTTTTCAAGATTGATTGGTTGTTTCCATAGTTACGAGGAACAAGCCATTCGATTGATTGTAGATTTTACAGGTAAGGTTAGTTGATGATAGAGAGATTAAAAGATGATAAGACAGTGTATACATTGACGAACGGATTAGTAGAATATTTAATTACATCAAATGGGAATAAAGAAGTGTGTTTTAACTAATTCCAACTATTGTTCTTGTAGTTCTGCCATAGTCCTAGTATGGTGATCTACCTTCAGTCGTAGGCAATCTATATCCTAAATATTTTAAATTTAATTAATTTAGATTGTATCACGAGTCACCATGAATCAGATCACGATATCCAATCACCCCGCTACTCCCTGTGTACTGACTGACGTGAGAGTGAGAAAACAGGTTGACAAAATAATTAATAGATCAACTTATCTAATACGTTCACCGCCACCCATTGAGTAATGATAAAATCTTCTAGTGTATATTCAATAATAAACTGTCGCCGAGTGAAGCCGCAAGCCCGAAATAATCCTTTCCGGTCGGCTGCCGTTACTTTTGAGAAGGTGGCGGCAGACACCCTTGGTCCTGATCAGCCAGCCGGCGTCCACTTTAACAAAAACATGAAATACCATTATTTGATAGATAGAATATTTATTTATTCTGTTTATCTGTTTAGTACACATGAAGAGAGGTTTGACGAGCGTTCTGCAGAAAACAGTATAATACATAAATACAACTTGTAGATGTACAGCCTAAAACTTTGCCATTACTATGTTATCATTGTTGTGGTCTTCTTATTATGATTGATATGATACATGGAAGAAGCAAATGGTCGATGTTGTTCTACATTGCGTACAGGTTGGTGAAGTAGTGAGGGTTAATATTTTACCCAAGGCCAATAAGGCGTAAATACTTTATACAAGTACAACAAGTACACAAGACCATACACAACACAAAACTAGCCTGTAAGGACCTCTGGTTAAACCATGTTGGATCTACAGTGGTTTGTGTGCTGTGCTGGTGAACTGATGAGGGGGAGTAATTTACACAAGGCTAATCGGTCGTAACGAGTGACCCAAGATATACAAACATATACATTTTATAGAAGAAGAGGAAAAAATATATATTTCGGAGTCACGTGCTCATACAAATACACAGAATAAATGACATGATAAAACATATCACCCCAGCGCACTGTTAGACAATAACAGCCGGACTGAGATGTAAACAGAAAGGATGAGCAGATGATACATATTTCCAAAACTCATACCTCAAATCAGTGTAGAAATTACGAACTGTGAGAAAATAGGCCACATCCTCAGTGTTATTACTGTTACAAAATTTACAAATTCTTTGTTGAAGAGGCACTTTAGGACGGGAAACCTACCTAGCTCTATTTCTAGTGGAAGGGTGCCACTGTGTAGTTTACTGAATATATTGGGTTGTGAACGCTCAAGGGAAGCAGGAACGTAGGCTTCAGTATATAACGTATGTTGAAACAAGCGGTATGTCCGCAGCTTATCACCATTACACCGACCAACATAGGCTTCAGTATATAACGTATGTTGAAACAAGCGGTATGTCCGCAGCTTATCACCATTACACTGACCAACATAGGCTTCAGTATATAACGTATGTTTAAACGAGCGGTATGTCCGCAGCTTATCACCATTACACTGACCAACATAGGCTTCAGTATATAACGTATGTTAAAACAAGCGGTATGTCCGCAGCAAATAGAGTAAATGTAAGGAGATTCCTCTTACTGTACTGTTCATATGACGATGGCGTCCTTCACCTTACACTGGTTGTTCGTCAATGGGGAGTTTTCTGTTTTCTGCAACTCTTCCTTCAGTAAATCTGCAGATGAATCATAGTAAAACTGAAATTGTGTCTTCATATTATATTCTGAGATATTGGAATTTGAATAAACAGGTCTCCACACACATCTAATTTCGCCCGTAGACGTTGGTATTCAAACTGAATGTCCATGTCAACAATGAACTATAGTCGTTTACTCATTTGCATGAATCTACTGAACAGCCGGCACTTACCTCCAATTAATCCTTCCCCGTCAGCTGTTGCTGTGGACAAAACATATCAGAATTATGGGCAGAGGCTAAAGATTTGGTTGGTTGGTTTGTTGTATAACGCCACACTCAGCAATATTACAGTGTGTTAACAATCGAGTATGGACTAGACAATCCAGTGATCAATATCACGTGCATCGAAATGCGCACTTTGGATACGATGACAAGTCAGCGAGTCTGACCACCCGATCCCGTTAGTCGCCTCTTACGACAAACGTGGGTTGCTGGAGATCAACTCTAACCCTGATCGTCGAGGGTCAAGGGAGGGACATCTATATGTCGTAGTATTTTACACGTGTAGCATGCCGCTTTACACAGCCCTATGTTCAGACATATTTTTTAACCTAAACGTAGTCAGCAATGTCTGTGTTGACCCAGACCCAACAGCTTCACCTGCACCCCAGCAAGTGGCAGCCCACCAGACATCGACATGTAAACAGGTACTCGTTGCCTTTTGATGTAGGGAGTTCCTGACAGTGTCAGACCAATGTTGTTTTGTTTTTTTTCCAAATCAGTTATTAACAGTTCTTGAGAGACGGAAATATTTTAGACTTGAATGTTAGTACCTTACATCATAGATTTTTCCAGAGGGAAAATGTTGCCTGTTTCTGAAGAACTAAATGAACGAATACTTAATGAGATGCAATGAACATTCTTATTTCTTTGTAGTTCGACTGGATTTTTGGACTTGACATATTTCGTAGTATTTTGGAATGTGATCTGTTGCTTATATCACTGCATACTTATAGTCAACGAAAACATTGTCGACAGTAGAATAGAAATATGATACTTACCTAGTCTTTGTGAACTGAAAGTAAGCCAGGGTAACCAATGATTGTATAAATTCCGTTTCCTATTAATTGCTAAATGTTATTTCAAGGTTTACAACTGATAATATCATTTCAGCCTTGTCCATAAACAACACAAATGTTAATATAACACAATGCATATTTTAGTGCCCGTCAAATTCCATAACACTGTTTACAATGTAGATGCAAAGTGAATCACTGTTTACCTGTACGTCTGTCTCCGCGTTGTGTAAATAAAATACACAAAGTCTCATTTTTCCTGGGCCGATCATTTCATTTTGAATTAATTTGAAAAAAACAAGCTGTTCTGCCAAAGTCACAAGTTCGTTTCATAAACATGTTCACAATATTCCATTATCTTTGGATAAAGAGAGAGTGAGTGAGTTACGATTTTAAGTCAACAACAAAAGATGACCCTTCGGGAGTAGTCTACCAGATTCGTTGTCAATGCGGAGACTTCTATATTCGTGAAACATCCCACCCGCTCCCACACACCCAAGCCAACCCTGACTATGCCAGCCTATGGAACAACATCGATATTCTGGAAATCAACCGACAAGACTATAAAATAAGGAAACTCCTTGAAGCCATAAACATCCAACGCCACAACCCCACCATGAATCGTGATCAAGGTTATTTCATCGCCTCAGCCTATCACCACCTAATCAAAGACCACCACAAGTAACCCTTCCCTTCCTCCGTTGTCCGTCTGGCTTCCACACTCCCCTTTGTGCTTGCAATCACAACTAGTGTACTTCAACCTACTTACTTATCATCATCCCATCGTACGTCAAACTCATCAATTGTATAAACTCCACTCTAATCACAAACAATCACTCTGTACATCAACCTCCTCTGCTGGAATCACTTATCAGATATCCAATGTACAACAACCTTGTTAATTGTATATACTCACTATGCAGCAATGTATATATTCTCCTTGTTTCAAAATTGTTGTATCACTTGCTTGATAACGGTGTTAGTACCTACACCAAAACGTCGCACTCATTGCAATAAAGAAGTTGACTATCCATAGAACTTAGTTTTCTTTCATCTTCACAACTTCTAAAATGCCTCTCAAAGAAACTGAAGGTAGATCACCATGCTAGGGACCACGGGGACTTACAGTACTCTTGCTTCCTACGAGGACCCCAGCTGATAGATTAAATAGACTTTGAATGTTTTGGGACTTACGTATCCTCTGAGGAGGACAAAAAAGTTACAGGACTTTCACCCCCTTTGAGCATACAGCCCCTAACACTCCCAGTTACTGATTAAACTTCCAAATATAAGAAATACAGCTATCTACGAAACACATGACTCACAATTTACCAGTCAGTTCAATTTCTTTTAAAAATCCGATAATATAATTGTAATAAACATTCTTAAAAAGACCCTTAACAGTTTAAACATTGAATATTTATCCCTTGTAATGGAAAAATGAATACAATCAAGCAGGAGATGCTTGGCCGTGATTCTTTCATCTCAAAAGATACAAAATGGAGCATCCTCAAATTTTCACAGGCATTCATGTGTGTACGTGGACGTGGTACGGCCAATGAGACAATGCTACGATTAAAAATTGCAGTAGGTTTAAATTTACTATGAATGTAATGGAACTTACGTGCCTTCTCAGGAAGACAATAATTTTACAATATTTCAACCCCCTTTGAGGGTACAACCACTAACAATCTTAGTTATTAATCTAAACTACCACTAATAAAATACTTATCTATTTACAAATCATTCATCAACATATATCTAATAATTCTACTTCTTTTAAAAATTCAATTATTAAATGAAAACTAACAGTACTAAAGTACTGTCGGAAATAGAAAAAAAAACCTGTTTTGAGGCTTTTACTCTGAATCTCTAAAATTTACACAACTGCAAATAGCAAATGTCGAAATAACCCACATCGGCCTAACTGGGCGTTCGGTGGGATGCGTATTAGAAAATTCAGAAAAGCATGTTTACTCGTAATATCGGGCAAAACCTGGAAAAAATACGAATAGCTGCTGAAAACAATAGATAAGACTATTGATGGCAATTAGGTCGCTCAGCCAGGTATGACGACGGACCGTCTACTCAACCGGCATGAACTGCACGTGCTGCCTATACGCACAATGGGTCTTCTCAAAGATATTTTGTGCTTTTTCATGTGTGTTGACTATGCATCATCTATTGATTAACATCTTACGTGTCTTTCTTTCAT